GATTTTGATTATTACTTGATTCCCTTTTAATGTGTTTCGAAATAACACAACCTTAATTGGTTGCAAAGATAAAGTTAAAAATATCGAATTTTCTAATTTGTTTGATTATTAAGGACAAAATCTAAACAAAAAGGTATTTAAAGTGCTATTTTTATTACCTCACCAAAATCTACTTTGTTATTAAAGGCATCTTTCAGATGCAACGAAGTGTGATGACATAAAATACTACGTATTACTCCTGCGTGCGCTACGATAATGATAGGTTTTGTTATTTCTTTTGAAATTTGAGATAAAAAAATCCCCACTCGTTCGTGTAATACAACAAACGATTCGCCATTTGAAACCCTGATATTTACAAAATCCTCCATCCAGGGATTAAGTTGCTCCGGCGGAATTTTATTCCAGTTTTTCATTTCCCAATCGCCAAAATTCATTTCCATTAAACGATCTTCTTTTTCAAATGCAATTGTTTTAATATGATTCTGAATATATTCAGCTAAAATGACACAACGTTTTAATGGACTCGAAAAAATTATTGCTTCAGGAGGTAATTGCGAAACGATATTTTCAAAAACAGATTCAAAAGGTTCTGCCAAATCTACATCAGATTGTCCGTAACAAACTCCTTTTTCGCAAATCGTTTCGGTGTGACGAACTAGATAAATTTCCATATCAAAAGAATGCTTAAATAATAAACAACCTCGCAAACCTGTTGTGTTGCACCAAGACAGTCTCCAGTATAACCATCAATCCATTTCTGGAAATAACGCGCAAGAAAAAATCGCGTTATAAAAACCGGAGTTAAAGCCAAAAGGAATTTGTATTGAAAATAAGAGAAAACGAAAAGAGGAAGTAATCCAAAGAAAAACGAACCGAAAATTTCTTTCCAGCTATGGTTTTTTGCAATAGGTTTACTTTTACTCGAAGCATCGTCTCTGGAATATTCATGCGTAAAAATAATAGAGATGGCAGCCAAACGGCTCAAAGCATGAGCAGAAATAAACAAAATAAAAACCTGAATAAGTGCAATAGAATTATCTCCTTTAAAAAGCGAAACAGATTCTGAAAGCAATTTGAATTTTAATAAAAAAAGCAAAACCAATCCAATAGCTCCATAAGCACCAATCGCACTGTCTTTCATAATAATCAGGATTTTTTCTTTGGTCCAGCCGCCACCAAAACCATCACAAACATCTGCAAAGCCATCTTCGTGAAAAGCTCCGGTAGTAAGAACAGAAACAATAAGGGCAAAAATTACCGCTGTTTCTGTTGAAAGAAAAAACGAAAAAAGATAGAAAGCCAGAAAAGAAATGCTCCCCACAATCCAGCCAATCAAAGGGAAATACCGAGTGGCTTTGTTTAAATAATCAGGATGATGGTCAATGTTTTTGGGACAAGGAATTCTGGTGTAAAACATTAAAGAGGTAAAGAAAATATGTAGTTCTTTTTTCATTTAAGAATTGTGATTATATATTTACGATTAGGACTGCAAACTGAAACTGCAAACTGCGACTTTTTTCATTTCCTGCTAACCCCCGCACTTTCAAAACTTGCCATATCATTCAAAAAAGTTTCAGCCGATTTTAAAATTGGAAAAGCAATTGCACATCCAGTTCCTTCGCCCAAACGTAAATCAAGATTTAAAATGGGTTTTGCATCTAGGTAATCAAGAAGTTTTTGATGCGCTTTCTCGGCAGAGCAATGACAGAAAACGGCGTTATTTTTAATGTCAGGATTTATTTTAACAGCAATCAAAAATGCGGTGCTGCAAATAAAACCATCAACTAAAATTAGCATTTTATTATCAAAAGCGGTCAACATTCCGCTGGCGATTTGTATAATTTCAAAACCTCCAAAATAGGCGAGCTGTTGTTTTAATTCGGCTTGACCGGAATAATTTTCAATCGCTTTTTTTAGAATATTTTGTTTCTCAAGTAGTTTTTCATTTTCGACTCCAGTTCCT